AGCAAAAAACGTTTGGTTCCATACTTTTTATTCTCCTGGTATAAGTAGGTATATCAGCTATGACATTTTTTCTTTTGGTAAAGTAGTTCAGTTAACTAAAATAGGTGTAAACCACAATAACCAAAATTATGTAACTCGGTAAGTCGGTATTAGTACAGTATCAATTTATTATTTCATTGTATTTGTGTATTGCCATAAACGTAACTAATTATGGGGATTAACGTGATAAATGATAATGCAGAAAGTTGTAAAATGTACGATGTAGTTCACACTTTTATTATTCAAATAATTAATGTTTAATCGAAATTTATTAGAGTTCTATGGCTCATAAAATTGTTTACATGAGTAAAATTTGCAAATGGCGCCAGTAGGAAATCTTTATTAAAAATTGTGTAACATTTTTTAATAAGGCAAATTTTTACATTGAGTAGATTTTATCGTTAATGCTTTCTTGTAAATATTATCATATTCGCGAACCACTTGCGATTTCTACCACTTTCTTTAAATAAAGATGTTTCCGATTATGAAACCGTTTACTTAAAACGTCTTCATTTTGTTTGATTGCTGTTTGTCTCATTTTCAGTCTTGTCGGTTTTATGTATTTGGACGCAGAAAAAGTTTATTTAAATTGAGTTTCTATTGTTGTTAACTAGCGTGAATGCATGCAAACATCAAGTTTAGCGTCGTTGACCAAAACCTTTATGGTATATTTAACAAGGAAGTCAATGCTTGGTGAAAAATTATGCTGCAGTTGATAAAGAAGTCAATGTTGACATTACGAAATGTTGGAGACGTTTTTTAATTAATCGATTAAAACTGTGGTTTTATGCCTTGGTAAAACTTAATTTCACTCAAATATTTGCATACAATTATTATCATAACCGTAAAATGAGTAATTAAAATTCATGCAGTGTATTTAGAAAATAAAACTAACTCTGTTTTAATCATTTCAAATCGCTTCTTAATTATAATTGTCTCACAGTTTAACCTCCCACACTTTCACCTCAGACGACCATTTTACGGTTGATGAAATGCATCAAGTTTATATTGCAATTTGAGGTAAATACAAGTTTCGGACGCTTACAATTTTTTGACATAATTTTCGATTTAGAGCAATTGAGTAACAGTTAATTTGTCAATAAAGTTAATTATGGTTTTAATTACGTACTGTTCTGTCCCAATAATTTTCCCTGTACATTCTGACATAAACCTTCTACTTAATTTTTTTACTTGTGTAATGTCGACTCGTGATTCCTTTTTTCGGCTATTATTTACAATAAAAATATTTATTGCAAATCATTTGAAAAAGCGTAATTAAACGCCTATGGGTTAGAAATGCGTGTATAAGTGTATGTTGGTAATTAAATTAACCCAATATGCAAAATTTTTTTGCCTTGTTTAACCTTGCCTTCTCTAAAATTCTTGACCGTCACTTGTTACAAAAATCGAAATAATTGAATTAATTACAAAACAATGAGCGTCTAAATAGCCCAGTTTCGGAACATTCATGTAGAAACCTTGTAATGCATACTTGTGGTTGTGGCAAGTTCGAGGCCACTCTCAATTTACAAGAAGTGAAGGAAGCACACATAAGGACGATGATTATCCATCCTGATATAACAGTGACAGAATCGCAATAACGTAACATTGATCCGAATATAATTAGATGCTGGAAATGACCCACATTAACCGGTAGTGCAAATTTAATCTACATTCCCATTTATGCAATTATGTTTTGAAAGACATTGAAACTGATTGTTTAAATCTTATAGCGAGCTAATTTGCTTAAATGATTAATTTGGATATTTGGGATATATGAGTAGAATTTGCGGAAATGTTCTTTTCTGGGATGACATTGACTTGGTGATTCGTAATGCTTATTATCCAGGTCATGTTCAGCGACTTTTGAAGTTTTCCGAAACTCGTAATGATTGGATTGGAAACTGATATTTAGTTGCATTATTACAAAGAGTTGTTGTGGCTTTTCGTGTTGGAAAACACAAACAATATTAATTAGACCTTTGTTACTCTACCCTAATTGCAGAAAATTGTCTTGCATTTTTTAAATGCGAACATTATTATTACAGCAGTGTTTACTTGAATGTAATGGCCATGAAATTAAATCATTGCGAATGATCTTCATTTAAAATACTCAAATGGAATAAATAAATTGTTTCAGTGTTTACGATTTTCCTAAGCCTTGTAGTATTCACACCCAAGAATAAAGCAAGTTGCTTCTTAATTCAAAAAATATGTTATAAAAAATTGGTTCATTCCGTGTCGTTACGCTGAAATTCTTTTGGGCAAACTTTGAATTTAATGTTTGTTTTATTGAGATTTTATTGAGCTTGTAACACAAAAAACAATTTTTTGTCAAATTCTTTTTTTAACAGTTTTTTTGTTTCAATCATGTCAATTATTTACACATTTTAATAGCATATAGTAATTAACAACTTGATTTGAATGGCGGAAAACTGAAAATAACACCAATTCCTCTCTCACACCGACAGAATTACTGAAGCGATTACTTCTTGTTTATTATTGAACAAGCATCCGGAATCAGTTTTCAGTAAAAGAAGACAGGGCGAATGGATATCCGGAAGGATATGGACACGTTTAGTTTAAGTGTTTTCTTTGAAATGTAATAAAATACACAATGCTTTCAAAAAGTGTAGAACTAGATCTTAAAAATAACTATTACGTACTAATTTATTGAGTCCGGAAAAGACTCATTTTAGGAACTCAAATGAGTCCTAAGCTGTTTTCGGGAGCGTATACAAAAACATTTTCTATAGTATACACTACAAAATATAGCTATTTTACGGATTCATTTAACTCCGTATGAGTTTTTTTTGAACTCAATAATAAAATGCTATGTTAGGTAGGTATGTACAGTTTCGAAGACGTCATTTTGGACGATTTGTCATTTGATTGACACTATGGAATGGTATGGATTTACATGCAAGTCACCTAACCTCAACTCACTTTAGATTTTTGTAATTTTTACTATTAAGAAACAAATCAAAATAATTTATTGAACTATATAAAAAAAAAAACGTACTGGTACTGCTGGCATCATATTATCGGAAAATCGATGTCAAAAATAAATTTCAACTAAAACTTTATAATTTTAGTTTCAAACGTCAGTCATCATAATGACAGTAAAGCGTGGCTCACATACACGTTTTCTTGAATTAACATAAATTAGATGTCCAAAATTCTATGTTGTTCACAGTTGCGGACAAATTACTTTGGTCGTTAAAGTCATTTAAGTGACATAAATTGTAAAATAAGCATTAGGATGATTATCCTCATTTTTTACTTTTATCAACCACTGTGAGTGTTAGAATCATCATTGCATATTTTTGATTAGAGAAAAGTCATTACTTAATTTGAAATTGTCATCAATGTTGATTTGACGTTAATGCTTGGTTTACATTATTGTTTTTTAAAGTAACTGAAAAATGATAACCAAAGTATTTTGTCCGCAATAGTACAAATACTACTAAAATACAGTTTTTGCAAACGAAAAAATAAGGTGGTTTGTAACACACATAAAAAAGCATTTTAAAATATTTTTTTCTATTTCGGTGTTAGAATAAGTCTATTCCAGCACCCAAATGACGTCATTTGAGTGCTGGAATAAGTCGTTGGCCTTAATTTAATTTTAGTGACGGACTTTCTTCCGAATTCATTTTCAAATGTGAAAATATGAATTATTTTTATTTTGTACAGCCGCCTAAAATTATTCCACATACTTCAATGTCGCCAATCGTCGCAAAATTCTCTAGAAAAAATAAATAAATTTTGGTTTTTTAATTTATAAAATGATATAAAGCGGAAAAATAGAAAAAATAGTATAAAGCACTTGTTGCAGAAGGTTCTTCAAGCACTCATTTGTTCTTCAACTCGCCGCTACGCGGCTCGTTTCGGAATTTCAAATTTGTGCTTCTGCAACTTGTACTTTAATATACTATTTTCTATTTCGGTGTTAGAATAAGTCTATTCCAGCACCCAAATGACGTCTATTGGGTTTTCTACACAATTCATTTTCAAATGTGAAAATATGAATTATTTTTATTTTGTACAGTCGCTTAAAATTATTCCACATACTTCAATGTCGCCAACCGTCGCAAAATTCTCTAGAAAAAAAAGGAAATTTTGTTTTTTTAATTTATAAAATGATATAAAGCGGCAAAATAGAAAAAATAGTATAAAGCACTTGTTCCAGAAGGTTCTTCAAGCACTCATTTATTTAAAATGTGCTTGAATAGACCTTCTGCAACTTGTACTTTAATATACTATTGTATACGCTCTCAAAAATAGTTATTTGTCGAACTCAATTTAGTTTCCAAAATGAATTTTTTTCGGACTCATTAAAATACTAGGTACGCAAAATAGTAGGTATATATTAAAAAACAACTTTTATAAGACCAGTATTGAAACACGAATTCAAGTTTAAAAGACGAGTTATTTAAGGAATGAGTGCTAAAGTCTTATGAAACCAGTTTTTTATAGTATTTTTTATAATTTGCCTTTTTTATGCTACTTTAATCGATATAGAGATGCTGTGATGGTCCGTGTGTTTGGTACACAATGTCTTAATTTTGAAAGTCAAATGTGATCCAGTCGCCTTTTCATTATTAAGACATCGCACATATTAACGTCATTTTTTAAAATAACTCCTGGCTACACCACTCGATTTTTAAATTTGAATTCGTGTTTCTTGAGTAGTCTAATAAAACTTGTTTTTAAATGTTATGCAATTAACATCACACATGAGGCTATTTTAGAAAATATTTTATTTAATTATATAATAAATAGTAAGTTTTGATTAATGCCACGAAAATGTTGCAAAGTATGTTTTTGAAGACTATTGTTTAAAACTTTACAAATGATCAGAAAAAAATAAAACACAAAATGTGCATTATAGTTAGGTGACCAAATATACACTTGAGTGTAGAGAGTGGTAGTATTGCAGACCGATTCGATTGCATATAAAACATATTTTTTGGCATTATTTGTATTACGACAATACAATTTATTATTTCTTTAATTGTTTGATATAATCTCTAGTTATTCACTAATTGTGTTATTGTTAAATTACTTGGAGTTTGTTCCGGAATGTTTGCTTGCATAATCCAGATTGCAGAGGCGTACTTAGAACACTTTCAAGGTCGCAATAAACCTATTTTTGACAGATGTCATTTATGATATTTGTGTAGCGTTTAATTATGCAAGCAATTTAGATTTATTGTTATTTATGAGCTGAAATGATTGTGAATGCAACGTGAAACCGAACAATACAGTGCTCCATTAAAGGTTACAATGTGAATTCGAGGCACAAAAGGGGAATCTGTTCTGTTGCATTGAAGATTATTTATTTGAACAAGAAATATCAGCTTATGTTAGTGGTTGAAACATGCCCGCTCCTCCAATTCCAACAGTCGTCGAGCCTGACGCAGGTACAGCCCTGAATCATTAGAAAAACAGACTTAAGTCATCAGCAAATAAACACTTTTTTTGTTCCAGCAGAATGTCGCAGTGTCACAGACAGTGTCGGCTCGCATTCCGACATATCAGGGCATACGCTTCAAGCCGCGAGTTCCATCATGGGACGGCCCCATATGGACGTCGTTTGTGTGATAGATATATGCCAGTCGCAGAATTTGGCCCATCGGAAGAAGGCCTTGGAAGAGGTCAATCAAGCGTGTCTCCAAGTGGGCGCCACACTCAACCATATCCAGGTAGTTTAAACACAGGTCGCTGTTTTGCATTCTATATCAATCTTATTTCAGTTTGAAAAATTAGATTTTGGAGAAACAAACGTAGTCAGCAGTTTTTACAATGCAGATATGGTTATTGTTGATTTTTCATTACCGACGCAAATCATTACATTGTCATATCATCTGGGAGTCAGGGAAAGATTCAACATGAAACACAACATTTTAATTTACAATGACACAGATACTGAAGCCACTGAACGTTTAAAAGTATGATAATAGAAATTAAGTATATTCATAAAATCAAAATAATTTTCTAGTGTTCCACTCAATACCCTTGCATATCTTACATTCTAACCGAGGATGGCATGTGTGTCACAACTGGAAGATCAAACGATGGAGGTGAGCTTTTAAGTCAACGTTTAAAACGATCATTGCAAGACGTTGAAATACAAAGCAAGTAAGTAACATTTTTGATAATTTTTTGAGTCTGTTGTAATCAGAGTTAATTAGGGCTCATATGAAGGAAAAATTCTTGGCCGATTTGAAGAAACTAAAAGAACAAAAAAGCGGCGAAGAACTTCAAGAGTCTTTACACAATATTAGAAGGCGTTTGGACGATCCTAATGTTCTCTCCGGTGATGTTGTTTTAAATATGTTATTTTGTTTTCGTGATATTCAAGATTATGACTCCATGGTGCAACTTGTTGATGATCTAAGAACACTTCCTGCAGCAAGGAAATACCTTAATTCATATATTTTGTATCTTTATGCTTTTGCATTGAATAGGAGGAAGCAAGACGGTGATAGAGAGAAAGCTCTTAAAGTTTGCATTGAAGCTTTGGAAAAAGTAAATTTTAGTTGCTTTTTTACTATCCATAAATGTTTAAATTACTAAATTTTAGAGAGAAAACCATTTCCCAGACATGATTTGTTTGTGTGGTAGAATTTACAAAGATAAATTTACGGAATCAGATTACAAAGATGAGAAAAGCCTAGGCGAAGCTATTTATTGGTACAGAAAAGGATTCGAAGTGCAACCAAATGAGTATGCAGGTAGGCTAATGGTTATTAAACAAGAGAATTTACTAATCAAGACGTCATAAATGTGCCATTTTAATTTGAACGAGCGCGTTAAAAAAATGTTATTTTAAAAGACAATTTTTTTTTGTAATAAATCAACATATTCTTATGTACATATATGTATTCCTTTTTTTAACACAGAAAAGTAATTAAAGATTGTCGTAGTCTGTTTTTGAGTCAAAAAAGGTCTAACTTTGGACTTTTACATGCAGTTATTATAATTTTCTAATTTATTATTTTAAGTTTGGGTTTATCTAAAATGTGAGTGTAAAATAGTATATTAAAAAACAAGTGGTACAAACATTCTCATTGTGCATGAGTAGCACAATGAGAGGTTGTAACACGTGGTTTTTATACTATTTTTTCTATTGAGCGCTTTTTAAATTGAATTTATTATTATTTATTGAATATATTATTTAAATTTTTGACATTTGACGTATGCGGTATCTAAATTGCTCTAAAACACGATGTAAAGTTTGTTTTTTTTTAAATGGAAATTACCAAGTCAAAATTTTGGTGAAAAAATTGGTAGCAGCTTGTCTCCATAGCCACAAATTTTGTTTGCTCTTTGTTTTTGTCCCTAGAAATTTTGTTAAAAAATTATGGTTATGTTTTCAAATTCAGATGTTGTCAAAATTGTGACTTTTATTAATCTTGTGTGCCTGTTTGCTCTTTGAAAGCACTATAATTGAACATCTGAGGACATACATCTTTACCTAAGGTCTAAAGACAGAATTCAGTGCTAATAACTTTGATAGAAACACACCGCAAATAAGTACAGTTCGAGACAAAATACTTTGGTCGTCAATGTCATTTGAGTGACATTAAATTGTAAAGCATGCTTTAGGACTGTTAACCTTATTTTTAGCTATTGTCAATCCTAGTTGACAAGTTGTACATATTTTTGATAGAAAGATATAATAGCTGTCATTAATTTGAAATTGCCATTTATTTTAACGTTAAAGCTTGAATTACATTAAAGTGACAGAAAAGTGACGACCAAAGTATTTTGTCTCCAACTGTACAATTTTGTGGCCAAAATAAATGAGGATCTTGCTACAAAAACTTTGAAGAAAAAGGATTATTTAGCAAAAGGTACAAGTAGGTATCATGATGATTTTGTGTAATTTATTGAATTGAGCTCAAAGTTGATGCATTTTTTAAATGCTTCTTCACTTTAGTTTCAAAATTGTTACTTTTTCAACTCGTTCCTCAAAAACGATGCACAATACACTAATTTAATTGCGTTCTTTCCGAGGTTCTTTCTCATTCATGTTTATTTTGTATTCTTGTCCATTTTTACAAAACATTGAAAATGTTTAGTAAACCTGCATTACAAATTGCGTCTACATTTTAACGGGTCCTTTTTCTAACTTCCTGCTTGCGAACTATTCGTTTCCAAATTTCTAAAAACTGTTAACGGTACCGAATTTGTTCCTTTTTTTGGTGTTTCGTCTCAAAATTTTCTTAGACAATTTTTTGTGTTGACGTTTAATGACATTGTTTTCAAATTAATTCACAAAACCAGAACTGACAACTTCTTTTATTAAAATAACCAGGAATGAGTTTACTAGTGGTGCCAACGATAAGACTGTTTGGCATTTCCATTAAAAAAAAAAAAAAAACAGACTTTAGTTAACTCTAGAATAGTTTAAATTATATTAGTTTCGGTGAAATACGTTGAACTGCAACAATTTCTTCAAACGACAATCTATGGCCAGTGATTGCCGAAGTATTGCACAAAAAATCGCCAAAAAACAGTGTCACAAAATTGCATTTTATTCAACTGTTTTCAGTTGCACAAAATGCTTATTGGGACACCGAAATAAAAAAAAACATGTTTATTTTATTAAAAGTCTACATTTATTCACCTAACAAAATTATTTCTCAGTGCGTGCAAATTAAAATTTAAAATGAAATATTTTATTCACAATCACTAATGTAATATGCCGATTACTATCCTTTTAAAAGTTGGGAAACACATCATTATATTTCATGAGGAGTAATAATATTACTTCTCTTGGACGGTAAAATGCAGAATTGCCAATGTTAAGTTTACCAAAATACCTTGAATTTTTTCTTTCGAATTGTCTAGTTACGTATAATATTTTGTTGAATTAGTATTCAATTGCTTCTGTAGTAGTTTTTCTTACTTCTGGGGAAGTACCCAACGATTTTAAATCAGATTCACACATTATTTCAATATTTTCTTTGACATTTGTGAAATATCCAAAAATCGGGCGCAATTTGGATGGCCTACCATGTTTGGACCTTAACTTTGTTAGAATTTTATTTTACTCACATGAAAATAATGTGATTGTGAATAAAATAGCATACAAACCTCGGTGGTAATGGCATTACCCCTTGTGCCTCTCGATTGTATACATAAGCACTCGGGCTAATGCTGTATTTACCACCTCGCTTGTAATGTACTATTACAAGTTGAGAATTGTGTTATTAAACCCACAAACTGCTAGTTTTATACTCGATTTTATACTGCGTGTTACGTAAATAGACTAAAATCTCTAGGGGCGATTTCTTCGTGTATGAGTTACTAATATTTTTTAATAATTTTTTTATTGTATTTTGTTTAATAGGAAGAGTTTTATTAAATTAGAATTTGTGTAAGATATGATCTATCTAACAATCTGTGATCAAAAACATTCTAATCAATTTTATTTATTTAGTACCAAAGTACCAAATCAGTGGCGTCAGTGAATGCAAATGATTGCCTAATCAAGAATAAGCAGATATGCACTTGATTTGAATTTACGAACGAAGACAATTTGAAAGTCAAAGGTTTACCAATTTTGATTTTCAAAGGTGCCGGCTGATTTGGCTCAAAATCGAGAAATCTTTGAATATTTGTTATCAATAAATTTATTAGAGCTAATTTGAGCTTAATTATTTTTAATTTTTTGTTACGGAACATGTTAAATGAATGTTGTTTTTATTCTTACATGTAAATTGTGACTTATCGTCTCTTATCGTATTCTTCCACAATGGGGAAACCCTTTTTGGCTTTTTATTGGTCACGTTTAAAAAGCTGGTAACATTTGAAAAAGAAAATATGTTTTAATATTAACAGTCTTGCTTGAAGGAAGAATTTCTCGAGAGATTTTGATGTATGTACATAACACCATGTATAAAAGAGCCATTGCTTTATTTCATGAGGAAAGACGAGTTTTTCTGTCTAATTTTTAGGGATCAATTTAGCGACACTGCTGGTAATAGGTGGTGCCGACATCACCGGCAACGAAGAGCTTCAACGTATCGGCATGGTCCTCAACAACCTAATTGGCAAGAAAGGAAGTTTATCTTCACTACAAGACTATTGGGATGTTGCTACGTTTTTTGAAATATCCGTCCTCTTTCAGCATTATTCAAACGCAGTCCAAGCAGCTGAATGCATGTTTAAATTAAAACCTCCAGATTGGTATTTAAAATCAACAGTTGGTAACATACAACTCATCGACAGATTTCGTAAAAAACGTGAGGAGGAAGGTTCTCCCGAAGAGAAGATTTTCCATTTTTGGATGGAATTTTTTCTCGAAGCTACAAAACCTCCAGCTAAAGATAGTTTCCGGTTTCCTGCACTTATCCTCGAACCTAGTAAGGAGTTTATGCCTAGCTACGTATGCGTGAATTTGGGTGCGGAACCGCAAACTTTACAAGTTACAAATTTGTGCGTTAAAAGTCTAAAAAATAATTGCACACAAATCCACAACTGGGAATTCACTGCTAACAATATACGCAGTGTCAGTTTTTACAAACGAGATGAACGTTGCCTCTTCCTCTACGTACATCACAATTCAGATGACTTCCAAATTTTCTTCCCGTCGGAAAGCTGCCGCCAATGTTTCTACGAATTGATTTTAGAACTGACTGATCATCAGGAAGGTTTAGTGGAATCTGAACCACCACGTGACATACGATATGAGTACGAAAGGGACGAACAGGGGCGACGTATAGTCTTAGGAAAAGGCACTTATGGGTGCGTTTACGCCGCTCGAGATTTGAACACACAAGTGCGAATCGCCGTTAAAGAAGTACCTGAAAAGAATCTCGGAGCGGTTCAGCCTTTACACGAAGAGATTCGCTTGCACTCGCAATTGAGACACCGAAACATAGTACAATATTTAGGATCGTTATCCGAAGATAATTACTTCAAAATTTTCATGGAACAAGTACCTGGAGGATCACTTAGTGCTTTATTGCGCCGCAAATGGGGCCCTTTGAAATCCAACGAACACACCATGGCCTACTACACCCGACAGATTCTTGAAGGTCTCAAGTATCTCCATGACCAGAAAATCGTCCATCGAGATATCAAAGGTGACAACGTCTTAGTCAACACTTACAGTGGTGTTGTAAAAATCTCCGATTTTGGTACATCGAAACGACTAGCGGGGCTATGCCCTAGTACGGAAACTTTTACTGGGACTTTGCAGTATATGGCACCTGAAGTGATTGATAAGGGACAAAGAGGGTACGGGGCTCCTGCCGATATATGGTCGTTGGGATGTACAGTGGTTGAAATGGCAACTGGAAAGCCACCTTTCATAGAATTGGGGTCTCCACAAGCAGCTGTTTTTAAAGTCGGATATTATAAGGATCATCCGCAAGTTCCGGAAGAGTTGTCAGATAGGGCAAAACATTTTATTTTGAGATGTTTTGAGCCCGATCCCGATAAGAGGGCTTCGGCGGCTCAGTTGTTAGAAGACCCATTTATTGGTGAGTTATTTTATGTTAAAAAATCAGCGTGGTAGCATGTGAAATAATAATTACTAGGGAAGATTTTTAAATAATTTATCTATATGTGAATTAATTAATTAATTTATCTATTATGAATTAATTTGTACGGTCGATGGACAAATAAAACTGGTACACCTAAAATTTGATTGAAGTGTATTAGACTATTGAATTGTCCACATTTGTCAGGGTCAGTATTAATTAATTGACACAAAATCATTAGTGTCTTCTATTTCGTTCATAAACTAAACTAAATAAAAGCTTAAATCAATTTGAGCCACTTCTAACAGAGTTTTGCTTGATTTTAAACCCGAAATCAACCAAAATCAATGTAATAGTTTTCTACCGATAATGAAAAGAAGTCGCTTTTTGAAGGGAAAAGGATATTGAGAAATAATAAAATGGTAAAATTAAGAGTCGAAGTGAGTCTTTTTGTGCTAAGCCCACAATTGAAGACCTAGCGAAGCGAGTGACAATAAGTTTTGTCTTAAGTGTGTTTAATTTTAAAAACAATGACATTTATGAAGCAATTGCTTAGTTTCAAGTCTCATTCAATTGAAGCAATGGGAGGCATTTTGAGCAATTTTTGTAGTTTTTATCTCTACTTAATTCTTAATTTCCTTCCAATTAAAGTTTTATTATCTCATGAATGAATCGTTTTTGGACTCATGTTTATGTTTATGTCACACTGACAGTATCAATTAAATAAGCAATTCTTTCATAAATGTTATCGTTTTTAATTTATCACGACCAACTTATACAAAATTTATTATTAATACTCTTCGCTAAGCTGTAACTCTTTAACGAATCAAGATACAAACAAATTTGTTTAAACTTTTTCTCAGAATGACATTTTTTATCACTGATTGACGTATAGCTTTTGGGAAACTCTGTGTACAGTGATGGACAGTGAATTTCGTCCACGCAATTTCCCTGACAGATTAAAAGTGTAAATTAGTCTTTAGGTTTTCCTAACCTTGTTTCAGAATTTTGATTAACGTTTGTCATGTTGACAGAATGCTCGATGCTTCTTGCTACTTTTTACCTTTGTCGTTTGTAGTGGTACTAGTGGTAGTTCTTGGTATATCCAAAAGTATAGAGACACGTCTTTGAGACATACGTTCTTGTACCAGAATTTTTATTTTATTATGTTCAAATTTGATTAAATTTGACAATACGTATTTGAATGTCAGTTATCATGACAATAAAGCACAGACTACAGTGAATTTTTGTGATTTCACAGAAATTGGGTGGACGAAATTCACTGTCCATCACTGTACTATATTTTATCTTCAAGCAGATCACAAAGGAACCAAAATTTAGACTCTGTTTACTTTTTAACGTTGAACGACCATCTTGCTATTTTCGATTTTAACATCTGTCACCTAAGTACATAGACGACTTAAATATTGGGTAACAATTGTGTTATTTTGTTATTTTCGAGGCTGTTTTAATAGGGATAATTTAATTATTAAATAATTCGTGTAACTTTGTAACTATGTATTGATACATAAATCTTGATTTAACCGTGTGAAATGCATGAAATGACTTTAATTGATTCGAGCCGCTCCTGTGGACATTTCAACTCCTAGGACTTTTTTCAACTCCGGTTACAAAAAAGGCACTTTAACCGTTTCTACAGAGATGCACATAGGCGCAACTTTCGACCGTTTGAAGATAATATTGTTATTTTTTCATTCATTCCGCGAGAATCTTGACCTCTCCTCATCTAATATAAATCTGCGAATTGTCTTAATTTAAATTAATTTAAAACATTTTTTCAAAACTCTAAGCATTTTTGATCATGTTTGCAAAACTATTCAGTACGTACTCTTGATTTTTTGTGTAAAAAATGGATTTTGTTTGCATTTCTTCTGTCACAAGTTTAGCTAAAACTTATTTACCTATTGTGTGTATTTTATTTTGCAGGAGTGGAAAGGAAGAAAAGCGTCCGTTTAAACACCGAATTCAACCGCAGCGTTTCTGTTCCCGTGGACAAAGTGCTTCCAAGACTTCCGAGCTGCAGTGCCCCAAATCAGACACCAACAACGCCGGAATCTGAGTACGTATTGATAAACGAAACAGTTTTGTGCATGCTTCCTAATCGTAATTACAGGATGTCGACAAAAACCGTGATAAAAACTTAACCTTTGTATAATAAAAAAGTTGTTTTCTTTTGCATGATCGTGAATTGTGTGAAAAATGATTGTTTCAAAGTTTCTAATCATTAATACAGATGATTGGTACTTTAAGTATTCATGGTAAATTTAGTTTTTTGGTTTTCGAAACTTGTCTTTTATTTTTTAACTGTTGTGAGGTTAAGTCGTGTTTGTTTTATTTTTTGTTTGTTTGTGGTGGTAATTGTAATTGACTTGCAGCTCCCAAAGCAGAGGCTCTCTCCTACCGCCCATTCAAATGCCCACATCACTTACATTCAACAGGTAATCCTGCTATTATACAACACAATAGATCAGACTTCTTCAAGGCAGGAGCACGAATTTTTTCTTAATTTGTTTTATTTGATTTTTTTAACTAAATTGCGGGAACAAAAATACAGTTCTTGTACTTGAATAATTAACTATCATTAACTCTATTTTATTTTTAGTTTAGCATCGACTCCCTCGCTTGAAATCGAATCATGTCAAGACGGTACTGAAAGAAGAAATTCGACGGGAACTCTTTTGTCGCCCGAAGTTGATGCTAGCACCGAAACGGACGGTTTTTATCTATTAAAAAAAGACTCACAAAGACGCACAACTCTTGCCAAAGTATTAGCACAAGATGGACCCAAAGTGTGCGAAGTGTGGATGCACAAAATTAGGGACAAATATATGGGAGAAACTGTACTCACACAAAAACATCTTGCCCGATTGATGGACGGTTTGAAGGATTATTTAACAGAGCAATCGTTGACCGTTGTCGAAAGTGCCGTTAGACAGCTGAAAGAAGAACTCGACTTTGATGTGACGGCCATAAATCAACTACAGTTTGCTATTTATTTATACCAGGTAAATACACGATAGAGAAATTAAACATCTGTCCCCTATAAAAATTCAACTTTTGTTGACATTCTCTTATCAGAGTTAGTTTTATGCAATGACTGAGTTACGTTACGTTTATTAAAGTGTGTTTTATTTGTAGGAATCCGTTAACGAAGTGCTTCGTTTGCACCCCATCAAACCTCATTGGATGTTCGCCCTCGACAATTTGGTGCGGTCTGGTGTCCAAGCTGCCATCACGGTCCTGTCACCTGAATTAGGCGAGAATTTGGCCAATCACAGTTCTCCCAGTACTGTGAACTCCGCCAAGTCCACCAAAAGTTCCGAAAGTTTCGATTTTCGAGATCAGTTGGTTCATTTGCGGACAGAAAATGCCAGATTGCAACAAGAATTGGTGGAATCGCAAAAACAGTACCAAATTTTGGTATGTAAGTTTTTGGTTTAACCAGAATTAATTTTTTTCTTCGGGTAGGTTAAACAATTAATTGAAAGTTTTCAATACCACTCCGAGGCTATCCGCGAATTGTGTTCGCAACGAGACAATCAGATTAAAGATGAGTTTGATGAAGATCCAAGATTGGCGAGTTGGTTACAAGGTCTTGGAGTTAATGAATTTGGAAGAAAGAAGATTCTAGCTGAAGGCTATACTTTAAATGAGGTGTTGTATAATATAGGAAGGGAGGAATTGCAAAGGATTGGACTCAGAGGGGCAGTGGAGTTTCGTATTTGGAGAGCAATAGAACAACATAGGCAAAGTCCAAATGTCTATCTGTGCAATGGAGTAACAGACGACACCAGTACTGTTTAAACTTCAAGATTTCATCATTACCAGACTGTGATTTTTTGTTTTCATTTTTTTTTAGAATCTTGTTTTATTTCAAGTGCAATGATATTTATTGTTTGAACAGAATATTTATTTCGTTTTTGTTCACTAATTAGTACAAATTTGAGAAAAGCACGCGATTTTATTTATACGTTTTTAAATCAAGTTTTGTTTTAATTTTTGTCATCTCGATTGGTAGTTTAACTCGATTCTTTTATATTAAAAGTTTAATCCGTGTATTTACTTAGTAAAGTTTTCATCTAAAATATTGGAAAACTAACTCTACTACATAGTTGTTTTACTAATCAAAGTTGAAGTGCCTTTTTACTAATGCATCACATTGTAGTTCAACTGTTTTAGTATTATTAATATTTTATTTTTGAAATGATGTTTCATTTTTTAATATTAGGCTTAAAATTGCCATTGAATAGTAATGATACTATTTTTGCTGTTAAAGTTTACACCATAATAAATGACTAATAAAAATAAATACTTTTATTTCAATTTATGTGCGTTACAAACATTCAATCAGGTTACAAATATAAAACTTATTTCCCTAGGATAATTTTTCTGGAGGCGCCAAAGTTTTGACCAGCTTGTGTGGCCCCCTTGTTGGTGCCGGCTTGGAGACCTATGATGGCTTCTCCAGCTCTTAGTTGTTGCTCTGTGAATTCGCGTTTGTTCTCTTCGGATGGACGGGGGCCCAACCATGGCCCCTTCCATTCGGGGTGTTTGTAAGCGGTGCGACCAATAGCAAAAATCGTGATTGTGACAGCAGCAATGTTCTTTTGATCCCACAAATCCGTACTTTGGAACAAATCGACATCAGGAACGCCGTATTTCACGCACGCTTTCTGGAACCTGTAAAAAATTCATTTAACAAAAATTGTATGTCGGCAACCAGTTATACACCGCTTATTGACCACGAGTTCCCCGTGTGATATCTTTACATTTCTGCGACCCTAATACTAGATTTACTGATTGCACTAGTTGATGATACTGATTCCTTTGTTGTGTTAATTAGTTGTCCGATTTTCATTAAAAAGGTGTTGCGTATTGGGTTGGTTGGTTTCTGGTTTGATCAGAAAAACGAAAGCTGAGGAGGCCTCTTGTGGTTTCTGCTGCCCTGTCACCACAATTTCATACTGGATGATTTATGTAGAGCAAGTAAAATTTAATCGTGTAATCCGGGCAATTCGATCAAATTTAGCCGGTAACCAATCGGTCCAAATTTCCTTATCGCCAAACGGGCCATTTTCTTAAAATACTCACGAAATTGATAAATGTGCTCCCATTTAAAGTGGGACGGACAATTTAAGCACCAAGGACAATACCTGTGCTTCCTCGTGATGGCAGGAGATCAGAAAGAATGCACGGTGGTCAAATTTATTCTTTTTATTCAAAGGAAAAAAGCGCCACTTTTGACTGCTTTTTTTGTTAAAGTTTCCGAACGATTGTTCACCATACAAGAGGAAAAGTTGCAGCAATAATTACAGTTTTTCTTTATTTAATTAGAAAGAAAATGTTTTTTGCATGAAATAACTTCATTTTCAACCAAAGGTTTTCCATTTATGCTTCTACCAACTTATACTCTCTTGTTAACAAACAAGTTAAAATTTACTTCGTCCGTAGGTAAAATTGTTTTTTTTATGAACTTTTCCTCTAAAATATATAAAATAATAGATAGAAAGAAACTAACAACTAACTATAAAACCTTTTTTTATGTATGGTGTCCTAATAACTAGTTGTTAAACTTGACGGCATAACCGTTAACGTTGTTAGTAAGTAATGTAGTTTAATTAAATTTAAACTTGAGTAATAATTATTAATTATTATTTACGTTGAGATAGCGATGTGATTTCTGTTATTACACTCACACATCTATTATTTTATGTTGTCTTGTTACACAGAACGTTAAAATTTAATTCCTCTGTGACTTTCTTTCTTGTCCCTCCCTCTCTTCCACTGGTTTGACGGAAAATGGAAATTACTAATGAAAATTTGGATTGGTTAACTTGCGAAGAACCTCCCTTATCTATTTTTTGTAATTGATAATAAAATAAAATTTCAATGAAGTAATTTAGGCACAGATCTTCATTCAGAACTCCTCCTTTATTTTTTTTCTTATAAACAAGATTTGGTCTTATCTATCTATCTATATTTTTATTTCTCTTTAAATTCCATAAACTAAGACCAATCAATCTCTCATTGGAAAAACTTTATTTGTGTACATGTTTTAGAATTTTGGCGAAATTACAGAAGAAAAAAAACAGTTCTGTTAATGTTTAGACAAACTCAATATAAAAAGAAATGTTTTTAGTTTTTTTCTCTTGTTTATAACTGAAATTTTTAGTTAAAACTCAACATTACAAAAACAAAATTTCAGAGCCATAGAGCAACAAATTCTTTTCATTGTATTAAATTTTTAAAACGATCCAGTTTTTGAGTTTATATACTTGTGAGAATTTTTTCAAAATTTGCCATTATATCTACCCTTTGCGTGTTTTTATTTTTTATTTTGATTTCTTTAGAAAGAAATGTTTTTTTGGGTGTTTAGGAACTTACTTTTTTTTTTAACTTATTGCAGTTTTAAGATTAAAAAACAATAAACCATTCTATCAGAATTTGAAAAAAAACTTAATGTATCAATTATTAATTTTCAAACTGGCAAACTAAAGCTGGGCTTTTAGTATAAAATCAAGATAATTGTTTATTGGAATCAGAGTTAAAAAATTTTGATTTTCTTATTTTCAGATTTATAAACTTTGACTATTAAAAAAAAATCAAAAATCTAGTTTTGGTTTCTTTTCTATTTTCCTGTAGATTCACAATCCGTAACCTTGCTTTATATTTGATTTAGGTAACAATGGTAAAAAAACAGTCTTTTCTTTCCTTTGTTGCATCACCGATATTTGTAGGAGTAGGATGTTGCTCAATTGGCAGAATTCATTTATTTTTAACTAAAGTACAGATATTGCCATACTATAACTACCAATTATTTCAGAATTGTAGTGTTAGAAATAAATTTAATTTAGTCTAAATATAATTTGTTAGCGGTTGACGCAAGTGCAGTGATTAGATGCCAAATTTAAATTGAATTCAGACGTTTTATTGTTTGAAACTGATGAAGCTTCTCGATGAAAAATGAAATTGAGCGTTATTTTTACGAGTATACAACCTCGCGGTACTAAAATAACCCACAAAAGAGTCACCTTTCGTAATTCTAAAATGTATCTTTTTTTATTTACCAACAATTTGTAAATGAATGGACTGAGGTCAAGTGGAGGTTATAAATTAAAAAGAAATATTTCATTCAAAAAACGACTGTTGTGGCTTTTACGCCAAGTTTACAATGAACACGGTTGGTTAACTTACTGGCTAAGGTTGTCCATCATTTTGTAGTCACCACCAGAAGTGTTGATTTTGGTGATGATTCCGGGCGAAAGACGGTTCATTAACTTGCAAAGGATTATTCCATCACGAAGAGCTATTTCGTATGGAACAGGTGGAAATCTTTCCCCAATAACAGCTTCGATCCAAGCCTGGGCTTCTTTTTCTTGCTCAGGGTCTCTTTTACCGGCAACCTGAAAAATATCGTATTTCATTGGCATACTAATCACATTACAATCTGGTTGGAATGTGTGTCGAAATTGTATAATTATCGTTTGATTATTTTTAGCCCCAGAAACCGATAATATTGACCACATTTTCAATTCGCGATATAAATTTCAGGCGTCGTCTGTGATCCAATAAAATTAAAAAGCGTGCCGCGTTGCCAAACTCCATAAATTCACAGTCTCTACCAAAAAAACCACTTTGACAACATGATTATCCAATTTTAACAAACACAGCGACGATTCAATGAATATTTTTCGGAAAGATTAAAATATCAACTTTTTTGGGTGGTGAAGCAACAAATATGAATGATTTAGAAAAACAAGTGTGAGCGTTTGAGTGACGCCCCCGCTTGTGCCTCCCATAAAGCCCATCAACTGGCACCAGACGCCTCAGTCAGTATCGTCGCGACGCTCAAATCAAACCTCTCTTCATCATGTCTGTAAGTCGCAATAATTTTCCACTAACAAAGATTTAAAAGTTTACAAAAACATATTTCAACATTGTGGGCTTGTTGAAAGATCTCCCCATTTTGAAATTTTTGACTTTCCAAAATTTTTGCTAATCCAAAAATAACCCACACCTGGTGTAGTAGATGCCAATTTTAACAAAGTCAAAACACAGCAATTTCGTCAAAACTTCCATCTATAATACTTTACAGTGTGTTGTAAAAATAGCCGACTCTAATGTGTTGTATTTTTGGAAATGATGCTCCTCACACTGCTACTAAATTATTGATTTTAAAATTAACCGTTGGCTTTCTAGAAACGCAACAAGGAACTGGAAGCAGAAGTTCTCAATTGGATCTTCCAAGTGTTGGGAGAGCCCGTCCCCAAGGGCGAATTTGAAGACATCCTCCGCGATGGTGTTGTCCTTTGCAACCTAATGAATAAGTTGGCTCCTGGTAGTGTGAAAAAAATCCAAGCCAAAGGAACCAATTTCCAGTTGATGGAAAATGTTCAACGGTTTCAACAAGCCGCCAAAAATTACGGTTTGCCACAAGAAGAAATTTTCCAAACGGCTGATCTCTTTGAAAGAAGAAACATCCCTCAAGTAATTTAAATATTTGGAAAAACATTAAGTAATTTTTGTTTTTTCAGGTGGCAATTTCCCTTTTTGCCCTTGGACGCATCACCCAGAAACACCCCGAATGGACCGGGCCCACATTAGGACCAAAAATGGCCGAGAAGAATGAAAGGACGTTCACGGAAGACCAGTTGAGAGCGTCCGAAGGGCAATTGAACCTTCAAATGGGGTACAATAAAGGCGCCTCGCAAGCTGGGCATGGCGGCTTTGGAAACACTCGTCATATGTAAATTTTCTAGTTTCTTGAATGCTTTTTATTATTTTTATATAAGACTCTAGGATAGGCTATGTAGTATTACTTTGTTATTATTTTTGATTTTGTAACATTTTTTGCTTCAAATTTGGAAGTTGGACCGTATTTTTAAACCAAACAGCTGCATACTAAAATAGATGCCTATAAATTCGGATCTACTAATGAATATATTGTCGAATCAAAACATTAATGTCTAACGTTTTCGTTGTAAAATAAATTGTTATCATTTTTGTGTTTTAATAATTTTCCCTTTTATTTCTTAGTAATACTTACTATATTCTTATTTACAAAACAAATTTTAAGTACAATAGTTAAGTGAATACCATGACAAAGTCATGAAAAGCATTGTAGTAATTAATTTCAGTTTATAGCTAGCACCTTTAGATTCTCTAAGCTTAACAGTAACATACCAAAATAAAAAATCTACTTATGGCAAAAAATTTACAATTTTTTTCAGTAAGAATATAAAAATTACATGAAAAAACACCATGTACTCGTAGTATTTAGAGACGAATGGAGAAATGTAATGATAAACGTCCCATTTTCAAGTTGTATCAATTAATTTTCATGAAATTAATTAAAATTTAGGCTTATTAGTAAATTCTGGAATGTTAAAAATTGACGTAAAGAAACATTTTAAATTGCTCTCATTAAATAATAGCATTCAGCTGTGGGATTTTATCCACAACTTTCACTGGTGTCACCAAGAAAATTCTTGAACTTGAACCTTTCAAGTTAGTCTATGTTTAAAATTTCAATCAAATTTAATCAAAGTAATGTCATTTAATTAGTGTAATTAATTTTTACCAATGTATACAATTACGAAAAAATGTCAAAACAAATGCGGAAAACAGGAAAACTTGTCGAAGTAGTGTTAAAATACTTGCAACATGAAGTAATGTTGAAATAACACAAATTTAACTACGTTGGACAAAGAAATTTCTCCATTATGATGATGGTCTGCAAATGACCTCATCAATATTTTCGTATTTTCTCTAATCCTGTCATTAACATTTCGTCTGGCTGGTAATGATAAGAGACACTTTATAAATAATTTAGAGAAAGCAGGTCAGTGTGTGCCTCAGTTTTGTAAAAAACAAATAAAAATGTTACATAATTGAAGAAAGATTGAACTATAGGTCGATCCGGAAACTTCCTTAAGAAGCCTAATTTCGTAATTTGAGAAGAACAAGTAGTTGTGTGTATATGTATAGTGAACCTTTGGAATTATTAACTTTCATTGGTTTTTTTCTATTTATATAACAACAAGGAACTGAAATTACTCAAATCACGCTTCACGAGAAAAACTTAAAATAACGAATTTTATCTAACAACATTCTTAACCCTCAAAACCTGGTTTACAACCACTTACTATGAAGCAACGACTTACTTGAATGTCATACTTCGTAACTAGCTTTTATAATAACTAATTATTAATAAATGTGCAATATTCACAATTATTTCTTTGATTATGATTAATTTAAGTATCAATGAACCTTCAATTTGAACGCTTTTTTGCAAATCAAAAATCAAAATTAACAAAACATCAATTACTTTTCGGCCACAATGAGCATCGCATGTTAGGCGCACTTAAATAGAAATTAAATATTTATCAATTTCCGTCACCCCCTCCACCTCCATTTCTTAATCCTCTCTGTACTTAAACACAAAAGGGAACACACTTGTTCTACTTGAATGACATATACTTAAATTGCAATACCTGTGCTAACTGAGTCAGTTATGTAACAAAGGCTCATAGAGCAGAAAACCAAGTGAAAGTTTATCTGAATATGACTCGAGACCAAGCTGAAGTCCAGTAAACATGTTGCGAACCTCCTTGCTTGTATGTCTCTTCCTGCATCTGGCGCTCGCCGTCATAGAGCAACGTAAGTTATGATTTTTTTTTACATATTTTTTTTTAATTTGATTTTTTAGCCGATTATGTGAAAACTTGTTTTAAAAATCAACCGGGTTTTATCAACTGTTCGACTCATGCGGTGCAAGCCTTATTCAACGCGATTCCAAGAGGAGAGCCCAGAATTGGGCTCGATCCACTCGACCCTTTGAAAGTTCAAAAAATTAAGGTAAGAAATCAAAATTTTTAATAACTTCAAATAGTAATAGAAAATCAACTAATTAAACAATTTGTCTATTATCATAGAAAAACAGACAAGGACATGTCAACATTAATTGAATCTTTCTTGCATAGTTCCTCGTAGAAAAATTTTCCTAAAATAAAAATGTATTCATTGTAGGAAAAAAATAAAAACGATGAGCTTGTTTATACCCACGTAAATTATACCTGTTGGCACAATTTCAAAATCGCAAGTTAAAAAAATTATACTATAAATAAATGCGTTTTTCATTATGAAAAAATAATTTTATGCAATACAGTATTTACATGTTGTTGAACGTTGACATTAAAGATAAATTTAATTTGCATTACTATTGCACATGTTTAGTAATGGTAAGTTGTTGTTAAATATTCATTGACTTGAGTTTTAGGACTAGGTCAGTGTCAAGTGCGATTACAGCAAAAATATTTGTTTTTTCATAGAGAAGAACAGGTGATTTCTTTTGTGGTTTATTATTTTGGATACTTTTTATGTTCTTGGTCAAAATAATTTGTATTTTTTTAAATTCAAGTCCAAGTCACCCTTAAAACAAGCTTGTTCAATTCTTAAAACAAACAGAAAATTTGTAAACCAATCAAATATAAAATAATTTAAACTTATTTAATTATTGTTATTATATTCTAATTTATGAAACAGGGTAACTATTCGATCGTTGCTAAGTTTGGTATGAACTGATTTGTTTTGTCATAGTTTAACGAATGTTTAAATTTATCTCTCCGTTAAATATGTTTCTAAAAACTGAGCCTTAATCGATTATTTTTTTGGTTAAATAAAAATTAATGAAACAAATTTGTTTGGTACTTATCGAGTATTATTTTTGATAATATGAAATTTAAAAGCCTATTTTAGTGTAGTAAATATTAAAAACATAAAAAATCCAAAGTTTTATTACAATATTCTAAAATTGGAAACTGTCAAATTGGTTTCAGAACGTAAAAACTCATTAAATATTCTAAAAATTTAGTTTTCGTAACTAATCACTTAATTACTTAAAACTTAATAGGCCGTAACGAAATTCTCTTGTTCTTACATGTTTTCTAATCTCTACAGATTTGTTTAAAAAAATAGAATGCAGCATGAATATTCATTTCAGCATTTTAATATTTTGCTGATGCAATTGTTGACAATTTGCGTAATTATATATTTTTTTAAATTCTAATTAGCTACAATAATGTTTACGTTTTATGACAATTTTAAATAACAGGAGATTAATTTAAATAGTAAATACGTCGTTTGTTTATGTTTAACACCTGTTTTGATTTAAAAAAATATTTGTTCTAAAAAAATTAGAAATCATCATCTATTGTTTTTTTAATTTTGTTTTCAATTTTACTAAAAAAAACTTAATACTTATAGTAATCATGACATTTTGTTAATTAAACATTATAACTGAAAAATAAAAATACTAGGTACCTGTAAAAATTGGGAGATACCTAATAATTCATTATAAAAATTTCATATAAATAATTTATTACAGTATAAATAATATATAGTATGTCCCCGGATTGAGTTTACAAGAGAAAAAAAAATCTTTGATTTTATGTCAAAACTGCAAAGGAAAAACATTTTTTGCTTCATCTATAATCAAAACTTCATTATTCTGATTCAGTGAGAAGAAAAGCAAATTTCTCTTGATTTTGGACAATGATTTTTCTCTACTGTTTAAATCTCATCACATTGACGGTCTTATTTTTTTACAAACAATGTTACTTTGATAATTAATTAATGACTTTGTATTTACTATCTTAAGACTTTGAGTTGCCGTTTATTAAAATTATAACATTTTTGTTATTTAAGTTGCGTGAACTCATTTGTCAAAGTAGCATCGTTGTCAAAAAAGTAAATCAAAATCAAAATATTTTTCCTTTGCAGTTTGGTGTAAAATCAAAGATAATTTTTTTTTTCTCTTATAAACTTAATCTGAGAACATACTGTATAGTTAACATTTCAAAAGGCGGTTAAGGTATCAACAGCCAAAAAATAATTTTGAATATTGGAACTAAACATAAAATAAAATAATAAAAATAATAAATAAAACAAGAATTCTTGAAAATTATATCTTTTACAATTTAATGTTTCTTGGATCAATATTTTTCAAAACTAAAGAAAACTGTAATTTTTGGCAAAAGTTACAAAATATAAGATTTCTAACAACTCTTGATAAAGTTTTCTAAAATTTTATTTTTATCTAAAAAATACTGAAAATATAATTCTTCTAGTATTTTTAGTTTAAAAATTTTTAGTTTAAAATGCGGGATTTATAGGGTGTTCAATTAAAAAAAAACAAATTTGTATTGCCATTAATTTCTGAAACATTGTGCATACTCGAAAAAAATTTCCAAACATGCAGTATAAACATGCTTAAAATAGCGATTGTCGCGCTTTTCCTGAAAATTCTTATATTACTTTAATAAATATTTCACTCAAGCTGCTGTTTTTTAATTTTTCAAAAGTCTCAAACTTGAATTTTTGTATAGAGTGCGATGTTGTTGAAAACAAAACGGAAATGCCAATTTCGCGCATCTCTAATCAGTCTTGTAATAATCACTAGCCCATCAATACGAAAGAAAGACGTATTCCTCGTAAAATTAAGCGGAGCGCAACTCGATTCGAAAGTTGCGTGTCCGAATGACATAATCTCACAATATCGGCGTTAAAATTACATAACACACCAGCTATAAAATGAAAACTCTTTAAAGATCCTGCAAGGTGGAGGAGGTCCAGTGACAGTAAACGCATCTTTAACCAACGTCACCGTCCTGGGTTTTGGCAAAACACAAGTGCTTTACAACAGCGTGGATCCAGTTACGTACGATTTCCTCACAAAACTGCGACTCGAGAGGTTGCGCATAGATGGCCTGTATGAGCTTTTGGGTCGAATTTTGGTCATCCCGCTCCGGGGGAAAGGCAACTGTTGGTTCGATGCCAGTGAGTATTTTGAGGCTAATAATTCTGGAGTTATTGCAAAAATAACACAATTGTTTATTTAACAGCAAAAGCTGCCAATACTGGCCATAAACCAGGAGATTATAAATAAATTCTCTGTTTTTTTTTGCAGAAAACATTGATATTGTTGCCAAGAGTGACGTCATTTTAGAAAAACGGGACGGTTTCCATTTCTACAATGTCACGGCAATCCATGTGAAATTCAGTATTGGTGGGCTAAAATTGCACATGTATAATCTATTCGATGGTATTAAAGCCTTAGGTAAATTTGAATAGTTTGTTAGATCTATTTAGGACTAATGAAAAACAATTTTAGAGGACTCAACTAATGCATATCTCAATGCTAATTGGAGACCGGTGGCCGAATCCTTGAATCCAATCCTTTCCAAAACCATCGAAGACATAATGATTGATATTTTACGAAAAGTTTTCGATAATATCCCTGCAGACTATTTCATAGGGGATATAGAAGATTGAAAGTTTTCCTTGTGATTAATTAAGTTAGTGTAAATTTAGAAAATTCGACACACTTTCATGCGCTGCTGAAATATTTCCAGCAAAAATAAACAAACTTAAACTTAGCTCGTGAGTCACACTTTAAGGCGCATACTTTTAAGCGAAAAACACCCCATTTCATTATTTCGTTTTTCAGTATTATTTATTAGAGTTTCATTTTTACAATAAAAATCATAAAAATAAATCGTCGTGGTCATTTCTGTCCCATTTTCCTGAGCTTCAAAGTAAACAAGCTTTCGCGAAAATAAATTGAAAGTCTTTTCGCTCACCTGCCAGAGAGGTCTAGACGGTCCAGGCATTTTTGTGGAAACTGATCACTGCTATTATCACCTTAACACTGTGAAGATCAGAGGTTTGCAGGTTAACTACGTATATTTTGGACCGACCCGTTCTTATAGTGTTCCATTTACAGTGGCGTCGCGGAAAGTACGCCCACATTGCCCAATCAAACAAAACTTAGATCTCTTAGTCATCATATTCATATGGTTTTGACGTTTGCTTTTGGCTGTACTTGCCGCATTTTTCGCTACATCGTCATTTTGCACAAAACAATGTCTGGATTTTTTGCCAAATTTTGAATTTATATATTTTTTCTTTCTTGGTCAATTTTCTAGTAGTGGAAAATTTTGTAGGTCAAGAGAAAATGGATTTTGCGAACAAAACGTCAAAACAAAATAAATATGAAAATTAGGTCGAACAAACGCCAAACAATTTAAAAATTAATCATGCATAGAATGAATTATTGGCTTTCTTTACCTATTTCTGTAAAATTTTATACATGGTTTATTACATTTTTTTTAATTAATTGTAATTAAACTTTTTTGTACACTTTTTCAAGCTGTTCTTTCTGTTCTTCGTTCTGTTGTTCCCTTATTAATTTTCTATTAACAAAAAATTCATATATAAACATCATATTTTAATAGTTATTTTTGTGTCTAAAACACTATTTATGCAAACGAACCATTACCGTTTGATAAATCTGTAAAAACTTTTTAGGTACGTGTTACAAACAACATTTTTGTTAAAGCTCTCAAAAACAGATTCAAACCTCTTATTATGTAAGATTGAGAGCAAATATTTTTCGAAAATATAAAAAATAATAATACCTGCCACCATAGTAACTACATTGTTGTTTTTGTCCACAAAAATTGTATTTTAGATATTTTATTATTGAGTCTTTATTATTTTAAGGACTTAAATGAGTTTGTACAATAGCTATTTTTGGAAGCGTAAGTATACAAAGAAAATACTACATCAAAAACTGACGTCGATATACAGGGTGTTTCACATAACTTTACGAGGCTTGCGCCTAATGTACGCACCCAAATATACAAAAGTCACAGAACACTGGATACAAAAAATACACATTTAATTATTTAATTTTTGGAAACCCATGACAGTAGTTGTCAAACTAATCACTGTTTCATTAATAGTCACAAACTGCAGTTTTTCAGAAAGAATTATCATTTGTTTTATCAAGAGACGGCATGAGTATGAAGCTAGTTTATTTATCTTAATCACTAACTAACTAAAAACGTTGTAATTTTTGAAAGGGTGAACAAACTAGAGAAGATTATCCAATTCTTCAAAATTTGTAATCGAGTTCGTATCGGAATATGTATTATTGATTGCATCTTACAGGCGCAGGCCTCGTAAAATTACGTGAAACACCCTGTACAGTATTTTATCTTTGATTTTACGCTAAAACTGTAAAGGAAAAACATTTTTTGCTTTATCTAAAACGAGCAAATCTTTCATTATTCTGATTCATTAGGAATAAAAGTTCATTTTTCTCTTGATGTTTTGTAATAAATAGGTAATGTAAAAATTAACAAAAAACATGCATCAGCGTAATAGACTCATAAGATACGTTGACATTGATGACGTACTTTGTAGATAAATTTTATTAATATTATTATTTTATTTTAACGGCAACATAAGAAGTAAGTTTAAAAATGCACCATAGAAAGAGTTTAAGGTATTAGTGTTGCAAAAAAGAAATAAACAGTGTTTTTACCTCTTGATTTGACCTCCTTAATATTTGTGGTTTAAAAAATCAATACTAAAATTACTTCATTTATTATTAACAATTCAAGCACAAGAGCATTATGTTCATAATCAGAAAGTTCATTTGTTTTCAAAACGAGAAAAAAGCTAATTTGTGTTTGATGATATTAAAAATTGAAATGCATCCTCACTTTGCAATTAAGAGTTTTGATACATATTAATAGTTTCACTGTTACATATAAATTTTAATTATACAGGGTGATTTTTTTAAAACGTGCCAGAAACGTGTCAGAAAATAAACAAAAATTAGAAAATCCCGAGGGCAGGTCAGTTGATAAGTTTTTGACAGAGCTATCCTTGCACTTTTATAGAAATTTGATCTGCTGATCTTCTTCTACGTAATGTAAATAAAAAATACTCAAAACTCACAAAACACATAGCCTAATTCCTGGTCAAAATACCTTTCATTTAAGGTATCACAAATAGGGTGGTGCCATTTAAAATTTTGAAGGGGTTGTTTGTATTACATAGAGGCTTGATGCTACAACTTTAAAAAGTACACTAAAAGGTGTCCCTCTGTAAATAAAAATTGACCTATCTCAGATTTTTTTAATTTTCGTTTATTTTATAAAATATCCAGGATAGTTCGTTTAAAAAAAAATCACCCTATATGTATTATTACACCGTTAACTTGTAAAAATGTGCATTAGACAAATAAAAAATATGTTTTTCAAAAGTTATAAAAAATAAATAAAATTGAAGAAAAATCATCTAGAATAAGAATTTTGTAGGTATGTATACTTAAAATATCGAGTCAATATAGAAAGAATTTTTAAAAAGTTGATGCAGTTGTTAGATGTAATTAATAATTTTTTTGAAAAATTGCTTTTTTAAATACAGACTGTTTTTGGAAAGGATAAACTAAATTTTCTAGAACGAAGGTTCTATTTATACATTTCAGTGAAAAAACTTGGTCTGTTTGGTGGTTACTGCCCCTATTAATCACTAATGTGACAAGTATTAAAATAAGTACTAAAAGTTATTTTAATCCAACATCGTAGATTTTTTTGTACATAGTCTGTCTATTTTTAATTTCCGTCGGATCAAAGTGTGTTTTCTCAAATTATGTTTATTCATGGTTTATTTCGAGAATCTTTTTAGAATAAAAATGTTTATAAACGTAGCTCTTCACACAGTAACAACTTTTTAACTACTTTTTATATAGGTAGATTTCGATTATTTCGTCAATCACAAGTGATATCATAACGACGTAAAGTATGTACATACTTTTAGTCAAAGCGTCAATTATTGCAAAATTGAAAACATTAGTCATGGTTGACGATGCCAGCGTTGGTTGGCGAAACGCGTACCTAATTTTAAAAATAGTCTGCATTCGCATTATTATTAATATTGTTTATGAAATTTTAGAGGTAGGCGGCAGGTATAATGTAGGTACAATTGCGGAATTAAAATTTCGGACAGTATTGTCTTTTTCTGCATTTTCATAAACTCTAAACCAACCTTTACATTGATAACCTCATTTTTTACTCTTGTCATGTTTATGTCATTTTCACTTATATATTTACTTTCAAAAATAGTAATTTGTGGCATAATAACGAGTATGCAGCAGGTCAAAGCCATGATTTAATTACACTTGTTCAATTAATAAATTTCTTAAGACAGACAAATTGTTTAAGTAACAATTTTAACAACAAAAAAAAAGTTTAATTGTCAAATGTCAGTCATGATGACAGTAAAAGGTAGTTTACAGTGAACTTTTTAAAGTGACAGAAAAATACTGCTCGAACTTTTAATTCCGCAACTGTACCAATAATAATATAGGTACGTTTAAAACAGCAACATTATTTAAAAATAATTTTTCCAAAACTAATATCTTATACTTACAATTTCTATGGTGTAGCGGTTATAATAACTTTACGACTACTTCCACAATTACTTTGCTCAGTTGACCGCCCTCAAAGCTTTTATAAATTTAAATCTTAAAGTGTAAACAAATGTTCTTCTCTGACAGAAAAAAAATATTTACTTATTAGTATAGTATTTACTTTTTAGTACATTTTTCTAATAAAAGCTTATTTTTAAAAGAAAAATACTTTTGTATTTTTACTTTTTAAACTTTACCTATTGCTTAATGAAATAATTTAAGTTTTAATTTTCTTGATTTTTTTTTCATTTTTTTTGATTTTTGTTTTGTTTGTTGAATTGTATTTATTTGTTTTTTTCTATTTTTAATTTTTAAAACTTGGTTTCTTGATTTTTTTGATTTTTGAACAAACTTTTCTTGCTCTATCGAATGGCGTTGGTTCCATCTTTATATTTCAGTTAGGGCTCATAGATTTTGATTTTGATCATAGATTTGATTTATAAATTATTACCTAATTAAAGTAAAGATTATTGTATTGTTACGGGAATTAACATGTAATGCAAAATTTCAATTTCAATTAGGGGCCGAGAAAAAATGTTTATAACAATCATTGTTAATTGTTTATAAATATTAATTAAAGTAAATATTATTGTGTTGTCTCGAGAATTACGTGTGTATGCAATATTTCAGTATATTGGAACAACAGAAACTGTCTCAAATTTCACTGGCAAGATTTCGTGCAGACAGACAACAAAGCAAGTTAAATAAAAGCTTATAAAAAGACCTTTTATTCTGAATGATATGATATACAGGGTGATTCATCTTAAATGATCCACCTGACCCCTCTATGCAGACAACACATAATACATTATGCACTTATTCCTTGATTCAAAATTAAATTTTCGAAATATCGAGAATCAAGGAACGATATTTTTCTTTCACTTTCAAAATTCGAATATGAATCAAGGAATAATTGCTTTGTGTATTATAGGTTGTCTGCCAAGAGGGGTCTAATGGGTCATTTAAGCGGAATCATCCTGTATATACATAGGGTAGGTATAGGGTGGGCTAGAACTCGCGCCTCACAAACAAATTTGAAGTAAGATAAGGTACCAGAAACATGAAAAAATGGTTAAAAATTTTTGACAATTGACACTTTTTTATGTCTATTTAATGATATACTGACGATTTTATATGTATATGTTTTTTTATAATTATTTAGTAAAGGAACAAAAAATTTGCCAATAAAAACCACAAATAAGATTAAACAAAGTTACAATTTAGAATACAGCTTCCTCTTCTAATAGCCTGTAGCAAAAAAACTTGGAAAATTATTTTTCCAACACAAATAAATAGAGTCAAAGTGTAAAATTTAAACTCTCATAACTTCGAAATGTTTATAGATATAATTTTTTTTAACATTTTTCTATGTTCCTGGTATGGCATTTTTTTCTGGGGCGCGAGTTCTAGCGCATTCTGTATACTATATTTTATCTTCAAGCGTATCACAAAGAAACGGGCTTTACTTTTTAC